TGCTAGGTACCGGTACCGGTATTCCGCGTAGGCTTCAGCTCTTTGCTTCCGAGATGAAAGCTTAAGAATCTAAATACGTAGTACTACTATATTTTATCTTTATCCGCGGCTAATCTGACTTACAGATCTTATCTTGCAATAAAGTGTATATACTATTTCCAGTCTAAAAGTGAAAGTGAAAATAAAAGCGAAAGTAAAAGTGGCGTACAAAGTAGCACTAGCTCTGATGCTACGAATACGGAATGCTAAGTACCGGTATCCCGCGTATGCTTTAGCTCTTGCTTCCGGGATGAAAGCTTGAGAATCTACTACTAGGTACGTACTACGTACTACTACTACTATATTTTATCTTTATCCGCGGCTGATCTAACCTACAGATCTGATCTTGCAGCAAAGTGTATGTAGCATTTCTTGCCTAAAAGTGAAAACGAAAACGAAAGTAAAAGTGGCGTACGGAGTAGCATTAGCTCTGATGCTACGAATACGGAATGCTGGGTATCTCGCGCAGGCTTTCAGCTCTTTGCTTCTGGGAGGAAAGCTTGGAAAATCCCACAACTATATTTACTAGGTACTCTCTTACACACATCGTGAATCGTCAAAGTCCGGCCAGGAAAAAAAAAATAGCAATAAATGAAAAAAAATATATATATATATATTCCAAGCTACTACGTCCCAGGCGTAAGTATTACCCCTCGAGGGTAAGGCAACCAGGGGGTTTGAGGTGGAAACTTAACTTTTGAGGCACCCTCGAGGGGTAATACTTAGCCCTGTGCCGTGGTACCTACGAATAAAATACCTGTACCGCGATTCGCGAGGTCCGGAAAACTTACCCCGGGCCCGTCCGTAGCTAGTAGTAGCTTTTACGGTCCCGGGCCGTCCTTCAGTCTTTACTAGTAGTACGTAGTACTTACTGTACTAGCTCGCGTCCGGGATGAAAGCTTGCAATCCCAGTAGTACAAACTAGTAGGTAGTACACTCACTACTACTACGTCGCAGGCGTAAGTATTACCCCTCGAGGGTAGGGAAAACAGGGGTTTTAAAGTGGAAACTAAACTTTTAAGGCACCCTCGAGGGGTAATACTTAGGCCTGTACCGTGGTATATTACCCCTATCGTAAATCGCGAAAGTCCCGCAAAAAAGAAAAAAAAGAAAGCTACCTAATCGTCGGTTACCATGAGTTTAATTTGTAAGAAATCCCGCCAGGTCGGCACCACTGGCACCAAGGCGGGACGGGACACCTATCAAGGCGGGATAGCAACGGTATATCACTTATTAAACAACAATCACTAATATATATATATATATAAAAGTGTCTACATGCTCAGAAAACTATGCTTCATAAACCTAGATTGAAGATATAAAGATGCATTTATGTTCGGTGATCTAATAATACATTGCAATGTTCGTAAAAAAAAAAGAAGAAAAAAAAAAAGAGTAAAGACTGTCCCGAATAAATTCGAATGGACTTTGTTCATTGCGGATATCTCAACAACCATCAACCTTAATCTTTTTTTTTTAAAGAAAAAGAAGGGTCACATAGATCGAAAAGAAATGATTTGATACATGATGTTACGAAAAATAGGTATCAATTATCGAATCAGAGTTGGTCGTGACGCACGTTATTCCTTGAATTAAATAAGTTAGAATAAAAGTCCGAATTTGATGTTCCTCGCTTCTTCTAGTATATATATATATATATACGCGGCAAATTCTAATATCCACCCATCCATCCATCCATCCGCATCACCAAAATCGAAAAAACGTACCTACCTACCTACATACCTACATACCGGTATCCAAAGGTACTAATTTTCATCCCCTCAAACGCAACCCCATAAAAAGAATACCAACCTGCAATTCAATTCCAATCCAATCCAATCCAATCCAATCCGATCAATCCCTTCCTCCATACCAAACGCCACACGCTGCATCTCTTTTCTCACAGAAATAATTAATATATATATATATATATATAATTAATTAATTAATTAATTAATGGTTGGGTTGGCAGGGTGATTTCCCACTCATGGCAAAAAAAGGGGAGCAAGATTTTTCCGCTCCCGCCTTGGTGGGGGTCGGCAAGTCGGCGAGGCTCTCATTCTTTGGGATTGGAACCTTTTGGAAGCTGACGATTGTCGCGGTTCGCGGGTAGGAGTTTGGTAGATAAAAAATATATATATATAAGTAAATAAATAAATCACGGACCTACCTACAGCGCTCCAGCATCGCCACCCTCGTCGACCCCCCAGCCACCCTTTTCTAATCTCCTAAGCCGGAATTGGGCTCTGCGACTTACGTACGTACGTACTTACGTACTTACGTCCAGAGTAAAACAGCGATTCTTCCGAAAAAAAAAAAAGTCCCGCGCCGAGCGACGACCGCGTTTCTTGCCTGCGTGGGCTAGGAAGACTACCTACATACCGTAGGAACACTATAGGTAGGTAAGTAGTCTGACAGTGACCGCTTAAACGCTGGAGTACTGTACGTAGTACTGTAGTAGGTAGGTAGGTAGGTAAGTACCGCTCGTACCTTGACCCCGGGCCCGGAACTTAGCTTAGCTTGCGGAGGGCTAAGTATGAGTTTTAGGTAGGTAGGTAGCTTCCAGGCTGGGTGAAAGCTTGTTGTATATATATATACTAGCTACTAGCTACTACTACTACTACCTACTACCTACTACTGTGTGTATATATATATATATATATATGTATGTATATACGGAGTCAGATCCAGAAAATAAATAAATACCTAGCGCTATTCAATACAATACAGTACAGTACAGTACTTTACTATACTATACGGTAATGCGTTTACGAATTAGGAGGGGGTGGCTTCCTCTTTACGTAATCTTGAGGGGGGGGGTTTCTTTTTTGCTTGTCTGCTTGCTTGCTTGCTTGTTTGTTTGCTTATTTATTTATTTATTTATTTATTTAGCTATTTGTTTGTTTCTTTGGCTGGGAAAGGGAGGGAGGGATGTACCATAGTACCATAGTAGTACCACCAGTAGTAAGTAGCACAACTAAGTACAGTAGTAGCTAGTAGCTAGTAGCTAGTAGCTAGTAGCTGATCTTGATCTTGATCTTGATGTCGATATTGATATTGATCTTGATGTCGATATTAATATTGCTATCAGTGATAGCGATAGCGTTTCCAAGACCCAGCTCGAAAGTCGGGAAGGAGCCGCGCCGGCGGCGGTCGAGACTCGGGGTGTGTGGTTCCGGGGCGCAGCGGAGGGGGAGGAGGGTTGCTACGTTAGGAAGGGAGGGGAAAGAGAGAGCTTGGGTGGGTAATAAGGATGATGATGGTGATGGTGGTGGTGTTTTTGGTGAGATGGTAGTTGATGATGATAGATGAATGGGAGTGGTCTTGGGCTGTTTGTTGTTGTTGTTTTGTTGGGGAGGGGAGGGAAAGTAGGAAGGGAGGAAGGAAGGGATAGGATAGGAAAGGAAAGATTTGCAGTGAGTGAGTGATAAGGTGGGTGGAGTGGCGTGTAGGGGTTTTTCTCGAGGGCGGTAGCTGGATAGGTAGGTAGGTAGGTAGGTAGGTAGGTACTCTCTCTAAGGTATTTGATACTGATACGAGTAGCTCAGATGCGTAGGGAAGAAAGGAAGAGGAGGAACGAACGAACATACGAACGAACGAACGAACGAACGAACGAACGAACGAACGAACTGGTTCCGGATGGCTGCCTCTGCTGCCGCGGTCGCGAGGCGCGGCTGAGGCAAGGGTATATATAAATAAGATTAAAAGTTGGGGGGACGTGGGGGGGTTTTGTCCTGATGGGATAAAGTTGGAGGGAGAATGATGCGCATACGAAGTGCGGATGCCACATTATGGCTATTGGTAGTATGTGAGGGATGGATAGATAGATAGATTCCGTCTCCTCTCTACGGAGGTACAGCGTTGGAATAATCCCCCCTTTTTTCCTTTTGACCCACTAAGCAGACTAGCATAGTCGAGCAATAGGTGCCTTTACAGTACTGTCCTTCGCTCCGTGTCGCTGAATGCGACTGAATGCGAGAATACATATCCGATAGAAGTAAGAAACAGATTGCTCTCATCTTCTGTGACTTTCCCATCCGCTTCGATGACAGCCCGACAACGCGCTGGCATACTCTTCACTTAACCAGCGCTTGAGATGCAAACTCGCCGCCCTTTTCTACTTAGCGACACGAAGCGAGGGATCGTAAGAGGACTGCTCGATTGAGCTAGTTCGAGTAGTGGGTCAAAACAGGGGGGGTTACCTAACCGCTGTACCACCGTAGCTTGCTCTGGCTTTTTTTTTTTTCAAGGGATGAAAATGGATAAGCAGGTGGGTGGTACATGGGTGCAGCGTCGCAGATCAAGGGATGTAGGTAGGTATGTATACGGAAATATGGTGAGGGACCGGTAGGTAGGTGCGGAGATTTATTACAGTATCATGAGCGGTGACGCTTAGATAGAGAGGGAGATGCGAGAGAGCGAGAGAGAGGGATAGCATGAGTATATCGCGACGGGGTGTTTTTGAAAATATAGTATATACGTAGATATCGGACCACTTTTTCTCTTCTGGTCGGGGGGTGGGACTTAGCGACGGGGTTAGCTCACTACGTAGCAAGGCAAGGTCGGTGAATGAATGAATGAATAAATAAATGGATAACGAAGCGAAAAGGCAACAGAGTCGGATCGTACCGAGGGAGATCAGATCTATCCCGGAACGAAGGCTGCGATCGATGGTGGCGCGGTTCCCGGTCGTTGTGTATCGAGTTCCTGCAGGTAGCCTCTGCTGATAGAGAGGGACCGGGACACGATGATGATGCGGAGATTTGCAGCTGTGGTTGGTGGCGTTTTTGGGGGGATACTATTCGACCAGCAGATTCGAATGGTATCTATCAAAGTGAGAAAGGGAAGCGACCCTTCCCCAACGGGCTGTGAAAGAGAGCCGGTGGGAATAGGAAGATAGCACCTGGAGGATGAGCCTCTCGATATGTAACATTTGAACTTGAAACGGCCAGCGAGAGAGGCCGCGGTCCTTGTATGTGTGTATCTTGACCGAAGCGTGGGTGATCTTCCCGTTTCCGCTCGGTAGTAAATTGGAAGTGCGACCGACAACTTTTACCTGCGCCGCCCGTCTCGCGTCTCGCGCGTGACCAGAACCACAGACGAACTTGCGGATACCGACGAGTGAGGATCTAGTCCCCGAAAGAGGAGGGACCTTGCAGAGCGAGCCAGTTCGTGGTACCCGCCGTACTGGGAGGTAGGCAGGCGACTCGGTAGTACTGTTACCCCGATCCCGGAGCGCTGGGCGGCGGCGGCGGATGTAAAAGGTACTACGTACCTGAGTGAAAGTCAACAAACGGCCGTGGGCCAAAGAAAAGGGGGGAGGGAGCTTGAACAGAAGGAGATGGAGAGGTCGCGTCTAGGCATTACTGCCAGTGGGTTACGACGGTTCGTCATCAGTCCAAAAGAAGAAAGTTCCACCAATTTTACCAGTCTACTACTGTACTGCTGATCAGTCAGTTCAAAGAAAGGTAGATCATGAAGATCAGAGCGTCGCGAAGGCGGTACGAGACGAGACGAGACGAAACGAGAAGAAACGGTGGAGATTGTGTACCGTAGACGGATACGCACCAGGATCAGCCTCTTTTGCCTTTTACTACGTACGTAGTATGTTCTTGCGTACGGATGATCTGCGACAGGCGAGATCAGATGATCCTACCTATGCCCGTGCCGTGGGCCGACCTGCAAATTCAGCTGACAGGTGCGGAGGCCTGGAACAAGAGGGTATCTCGTCGGTTACCTTGAATTATCATTCATAACAAATCCCCTGCCTGCCGGGACAGTAGCAATTGCTCCTTTATGATGGATAGAAAAATCGATTAATTATTACATCGTAATTATCTCTGTATTGAAAGATGCAGCGCGTTGAGTCTGATATTTATTGGTCAATTAAACTTTGATTATAAATTGGTATTTCTTTACTATACTAGGTTCGAGTAATAGACATGGTTATCTTGATGTGCTAGACTTTTATTATACTACTACTACTATGTACGTAGTATGTACCTTTCGACCTTCCTAGTCCGCGCGTGAAACTAAAACTCAGCGCACAGAAAACTCCAACCCTATTAAAACGCGCTCGACTTACCAAGTAAACGAGTCATCCATTCCCATCTTCAAACCCGTCTATCACGTTCGCTCATTACCTATCCCATCTCAATACCAATTCCTCTTTCGTGCTCACGAAACCCACGCGAATCGAGCGCGGCCCCACCGCCATCCGGCAGCCAACCCGGATTCGCCTACGACGCACCAGCCGCTCGATCAAGAAGGCTTCTCTCTTGTCTTGAACACGCCACCCGACGCACGAAGAGAGGGCGATTGCGCAAAGCTCTTCACGCCTTCACCTACTCTCTGCACAAATAGTCTTTGAATAAATAGAGAGAGAGAGAGGGGTTACGCGGGCAAGGCTTCGCCGGGGATGGATTAGGACGTATCTGGCTTCCTCCAGTCGATTGAACGATCATCTCCAAGCCGGACATCAGAGCGAAACGAACTACTGCTGCCGAGCTTGGAGGGTTTGATACGGTAGTCGGGTTGAACGAGGCCGAGAAGAATGCTGCTGCGGGTGGGGCTTTGGCAACGGCGGTCGAGTTTAGCACTGTAGCGTGCGGGTGAGAGCACGATGGGCGCACCGCGGCTGTCTGGCCGTGGTTGTGATGCGCACTCACACCCTGCTTCCTTGCTAGCGTTCTCGCTCGATTGATGATGCACGGCAAAGGCTGTACGACACGCCCACACACACACACACACACACAGCCCGCCGCCAAAAGGAAGGCGCTGAAAGAAGCACCGCAGCGGTGAGCAGGAGACCCCAGCCTGCTGCTCCGCGCTTCTCGAATCCCCCCCCCGTTTCCCGCTGCTCCCTCGGGGAAGAAAAAAAGGCTCGCGGGTCCTTCTGTCGCACTATCGCTCACAAACAATTTTTTTCCTTTTTCTTTTCTCTGTCTCTCTCTCTCTCTCTCTCCTTTAGTCTGGTGCGGTTGCTCGTCCTGTCTGGACGGGGTTTACTCGCGCGCGTGACGTGTTGTTTGCGCCCGAGGACCTGGTGTCCTGGTCGGGACGGGACGTCCCCATATATCCTGGTGTTATTTTTAGGGAGAGTCCCTCGATATTTAAGCTTGATCGCGCCGTCCGGCGTATTAGGTATCGTTCTCTCCTTTGGGTGTTAGTGTTCGTGTTGTGGGGATGATAAGTAAGTAGTACCAGATGAGGATAGACGGATGGATGGATAGACGACGTACTACGTACTACGTACGTCGAGATAGTAGTAGTATCTGCATATCATCGTGCATAGACGTCGCATCTTGCATATTTCGATCGAGGGCATATCGTCCGTACTACCTATACCTACCTACTGCCTACTATAGAGGTACGCACCGTATGATCCAGGCTGCGCGATGAACTCTAGCTAGGCCTGCAGAGAGATGGTCGTCTATATACCCTGTCCCTCTTCTTTCTTCGCTTTATACTTTTCTCCTCTTCTTCTTCTTCTTCTTCTTGTTCTTCTTGTTCACTTCTCCTTCTTTTCTTCTTCGTCTCTTCGCCCTCTCCTCCTTTCCTTCTCCGCCCTCTCTCTTTCCCCGACGATGCGCTCGCTACTTCCGGTCCCAAAGTGTCCATCCAGGCCACCAACCACCGCACAGGTAGCCTCTCTCGTCTCGCGCCTGGAGCCCATCGTAGTAGGCCAGAAGGGGAAGAAGGGGAAGAAGGGGGGAGAAAGGGTCCTCCGATCAGTCCCGAGCCCCAGAGCCCCAATCGTCCACTTCAGCTCTCCCTTGCCGCATCCCTGCAGCTGGGTCTGGGTCTGCGCGCATGACCTGACCTGACACACCCGCCCGCCCGGCAGCATCCAGGCGTCGATCGCTGCTGCATCGGGTCCGGGCAGGGGTAGGCTCGATCGGGGTCTGGACTGCCAAGCAGGAAGCAGGAGCCGATGAAAGTCCATCGTGACGGCCATTTCCTAGTCGTAGTCGTACTACTACGTGGGGAGGCAAGCTGATGGGCGAGCTAAGGTAGGTACCGTATCTAAGTCACTTTTACTGTAGGTACGTACCGCTGGTTGTACATACCGTACATGTTCTCTTCTCGTGCGCGTGTGAGGCGCGCGCGCTATATGTACATACTGTACTACTAGCAGGACGGAAATCAGCGCGCGCGCGGAGAGCCAGATCTGTCAAGCTATCGATCGGTCTATTGATTTATGTATCGACCAATTTATCTATCTGTCTCTCTATCTATCTCTCGCTCTATTTCTCAATCTATCTCTCTATCAATCTCTCTATTTCTCAATCTATCCACCCACCTACCAACCAACCAACGAACCAACCCATCACCCCCCCTCCCCCCTCCCCCCTCCCCTCTCAACCATTCCCTCTTTCGTCTTTCGACCGTCGCCGAGTCGATTATATTATATGAGTACCTACCTAATTAAGGTTCTCTGGGGGGGGGGTAATTCTACAGTATCAATCGTTCCGTATGAATCGTCACCGGTGTCTGTCTGTCTGTCTGTAGGTACCGTACTACCGTCCTACCGTACTACGCCTTCCCTCCCTCCCTCCTCATGCGGCCAGGTCGACAAACCGATCCCCAAATACAGGATAGAGTTAAATGGACTAGGTTTGGGCCTAGCCGCCCCATACCATACCGTACCATACCATACCGTACCATACCATACCGTGCCGTACAGCGTCGCTGCACGTGTTGCAAAGCCCCTTCTTCCCTCGGAG